ATTTTCTATGATAGTTTTTAAAAGTTGGGTGGAAATGGTGAACATTATGATATTCCTTGAAAGTGAGGTACAGACTAGATCTAAAACAGAGGGAAGAATACTGCAGGCAAGGGATACCATAAATTAAAAATTAGAGATGGAAATATGCCACCTAAATTATGGCTTCTTGTGACCTGTTCATCTTGCCCTGCTGTAATGAAAATTTGTAATAAACATTTTTAAAGATAAAAAAATAAAACCTGGCATAATGCCTGATCCATATTAGTTACTCTCTACACACAGATAATGTAACCATGTCTGGCACATGGCAGGCACACTCAGCAGACACTCGTCATAATCAACATGGCTTGTTGACTGAGAGCACAGTCTAGGGCTGTACCTAGCTGGGTTCAAACTCCAGCTGTGTCCCCGAGGGGCTATGGGACTTTTGTTGAGTCATCTCAAGTCTATGTCTGAAATGGACATAGCAACTATAGCTCCATTACAACCATCACCATCCATCATAACCATCAGCTAATTTTCATTTGTTTTACTATCTTAACCAAATTGAGACTGATGTGGTCAACTAAGTGTCATTGGGTGGGGCCACTGGAGCCTGGGAACTAAGGTTCTTCAGGGATTCGTTTCAGAATTGTACTTTGTGCATTCACTAAGGCAAAATATATCCTTAGAGATTGCTGAACCAAAAGTCTAATTTGGGCACTGAGTGCTGCTAAATGCTAAACTATCTAGAGAGCTATATCTCTTTCAATGCTTGAATTTACCATGTAGAGTAAAATTTCCCAATGGCCTTCATGTTTCATAAAAGCACACAGTTAACCTCCTCCTGAAGAAGCCAGCTTTTCCTCTCTTTTGTCATGAAACTTAACACAATGTTACCTATGTAGGCCTGTTGGATCACTCAGCAGCTCACTGATATAATTACAGATTGAAAAACTGATCCCAGGCTATCTACAGGAGGGTTGTATCCAACCAGGCCCATCTCTTAATGAAATGGATCACATTGATTTTTCCTTTCCATTTTCCAGTTTTGTCTTCAGGTCTTAGAGCTGGGATTCTCTATTGCTGCAACTGCCCCAAACAGTGGGTATACTGGTCCTTCCGTGCTGGGGTGGCTTGCAGCTGTGGTTAGGGACCACTCACCACGACTACAAGTGAGGCAATGACTGAAGAAGCTGATTAGGTGAAGCTGTAATTGGAAAGGGATACTTTGAAGTTCCTTACTCAATAATCAGAG